CCATTTCTCTTGTTTTTAACAGCTTGCTTTCTAGAGTCTTTGTCTTTCTGTAATAACTAGCAGACTTAATTGGGTTGTTGATACTTTGCTTGTGTTGCCCGAAGAGTTCCACATATTCATCTGTGGTCAAGTTACAAATTTTTGCCTTGTCTCAGCAATAAGCCTATCAGTTTGAAGGATCACAATGGTGAATCGTTGGAACACTGCATTCTTGGGAAAATGAGTTAAAATTAGGTTCTTAAGATATGGTCACCATATTTCCTTGCGGTTCTGCTTCACGACGGCCGCCAGAACTACTCCAACAACATTGGTTCTGGTGATGGCCAGAACAGCCGTGAGCGATGGGAGGTTGCGCCAAGGACGCTCAGGCCGGTGACCGGCGCAGCGAGCATAGGGGGGCTCCAACCAGGCGTGGGGCGGCGCGATCGACTCTGGGGGACGCCAACCACAAGAGCCTGGTCAACAAGGTCGTGCTACCTGAGGTTTGTGTTTCCTGCAATGAGAATGAGACGGGCCATATCCCTGCCTTTTGCCCTGCTGTCTGTGGTATATGCGGTCTATCTGATCATATGGTTCATGAGCCTTGCTCCGGTGCACCCCCTAACTCAATTTCCTAGGGATATTCTTGACCTCCGCCATCTATTTTTTCTCTGGCCCGCCACTGCCCATATCCAAACCCCGTAGCCCATATCCAAGCCCTGTATAACCCATACGTATGTATACGGTGGCATCCCGAAAAAAAGGATGACACGACCCACGACCAGGTACGACCTGTCGACGGTCGATCCATCAATCACGCAGCTCAATCAATCACGCAGCTCCATAATTCACGCGGCTCCTCCATCATTCTGTTGAGGTTCTGTAGGAATATCGGCGGTGGCGATCTCGTCTGAGAGAGCGCGCGGCACCGTCATGAACCTCCAGCGCTCGCAGGTACCGCATCCCGTTTCCCCATGTTTGTCTCGCTCGCGGCAACATCAAACGAACTGCCGCTGTTTTCGTCGTAGTGGTTAACCTAGCGGGGCGGGTAACCTAGCTTTCCGGCGGTCCAGGCCATCGCAGATCTTGTTCTGGTAGTGCTGCTCGTCGTGATATACACAGTGATCACGCGGGCTAAAGTGGGTTTGTTCTGTCTAGGGTTAACCTAGCATCGGTTGCCGTCGGTTGTGTGCACGACGGCTTCGTTATTTGATGCGACGGCTTACCTAGGTATTCGACGATCCAAAGTGATCACGACTGGTGCCGTGGCTAGGAATCCGGCGGCATATGTTATCACGGGTAGCGTTGCTTCTCACGATCCAAAGTGATCACGTACTGGATCCGTGGGCATCTTCCTTACTAGGGTTGATGTACCTTAACGCCGATGACCGGTGTGGAGAGGGAGGAGGATCCATGGGTGGTCAGAGGTCGTTGGCGTCGGTTGTGTGCACGACCTGAACGCCCTCGGCTGGGGCGCTCTCTGGTTGGGGTAGTTTATTTAACATCTGTGATCGTGTGCTAGGTGTTGTATATGTCAGCATTGATAATGTTTGCACATGTGATGATACATATTATTTGTTGTAGGAAATGGCGGACGATGAGTTAACTGATATGATGTATGACATGGAGTTTGGAGAACTGATGAAAGACTGGATAGAAGATTGGTCAGATGATGAAAATTCAGATCGTGGAGATAGGTCAGAGAATGGGGACGAATTGGAAGATCTTAATGTGAGTGTCATTATCATGTTGTAATTTTTTGGTGGCATCCGACAATATTATATTTTTGTGTTGAAAATTTATAGATGGATGAGCATGATGATGGTCAGGAAAACAATGAGCATGATAATGGTGAGGAAAATAACTCGGAGATCTCGAATGAAGATTACATTAGTCAGGTATGGAAGTGAAAATTTTTATTGGCATGCAAATTGAATTAATCCTGGAATATCATATGTGTATTTGTTTTATGTTTTTCAGCTCATTTCCGAATGTCATAATGCGTACAACTATTAAGGTGAATCCGACACGGAGACATGCCTTGATGACGAATCATTAGCTGCACCTGATTCTGGGGAGTCGCAGTCGTCGGTCATCATGAGTGAGGTATCTATGTAGTAAATGTTGTATGGAAGTAATGTTATACCATAGAAAACTGATTTCATGGCTATGTTATGATTGTGTAGGTGACAGAAGATGAGGGAAAAATGAATGTCCAAGATATCGCCAGTGCAGATGATAAGAGGGATATGTTCATGCAGATAATACAAATGACTTTTACGTCTCACGAGGCTGCGTATGATTTCTACAACAGCTATGCTAGAGATAATGGTTTCAGCATTAGAAAGAATAAGGTCAGGTATAGCAAAACTGAATCACGTCATATGCGTTATAGGCGGTTTGTTTGTTCCAGACAAGGAAAACGTGATAGCAGGTTGCTAACCGAGGAAGGACACAGCCGTAGGCTCAGACCGAGACACACTGCCACTACGAAGCGCACCTGACCGTGAAGCTTGACCAAAAGCATGGGGTCTGGTATGTTGAAAGTTTTGAGGACAAGCATAGCCATATCTTGGCAGGACCGGACGAGGTACCTTTTCTTTGGTCCCACAGAAAAATCAAATAGTACCAGAGAGCTGAGATACTGTCCATGGGAGCTGCAGGGATTAGAATTCACGACATGATGGATTCCTTCATCAGCAAACATGTATGGTATGATGGTGTTGGTTTTACCAGGCGTGAAATATACAACCTTTGTGCCAGGGAGAAGAGGAAGCTGCTTTCAAAAGGTGATGCTGCCACAGTCATATGCATCATGGCCAGTAGGAAACAAAGGGATCCTAGCTTCTTTTTCGAGTACAAGGTAGATAAGGAAGGACATATGAATAGGATGTTCTGGTGTGACTCCCATTCTCGTCATGACTATGAGGACTTCGGCGACGTGCTTGTATTTGATAACACGTGCAAGATGAACCGGTATGGTATGCCATTCATACCTTTTGTTGGTCTTAACAATCACCGGAAGACCACTGTTTTGGCTTGTGCCATAGTTGTGACGCCCCCGATTTAATCGTACACTAATCATACACGCAAACGTGTACGATCAAGATCAGGGACTCACGGGAAGATATCACAACACAACTCTACAAATAAAATAAGTCATACAAGCATCATATTACAAGCCAGGGGCCTCGAAGGCTCGAATACAAGAGCTCGATCATAGACGAGTCAGCGGAAGCAACAATATCTGAGTACAGACATAAGTTAAACAAGTCTGCCTTAAAAAGGCTAGCACAAACTGGGATACAGATCGAAAGAGGCGCAGGCCTCCTGCCTGGGATCCTCCTAAGCTACTCCTGGTCGTCGACATCGGGCATCACATAGTAGTAGGCACCTCCGGTGTAGTAGGGGTCGTCGTCGACGGTGGCGTCTGAATCCTGGGCTCCAACATCTGGTTGCGACAACCAGGTAGAAGGGATAGGGGAAAAGAGGGAGAAAGCAACCGTGAGTACTCATCCAAAGTACTCGCAAGCAAGGAGCTACACTACATATGCATGGGTAAATGTGTAAAGGGCCATATCGGTGGACTGAACTGTAGAAAGCCAGAATAAGAGGGGGATAGCTAATCCTGTCGAAGACTACGCTTCTGGCCACCTCCATCTTGCCGCATGTAGAGGAGAGTAGACTGAAGTCCTCCAAGTAGCATCGCATAGCATAACCCTAACCGATGATCCTCCCCTCGTCGCCCTGTGAGAGAGCGACCACCGGTTGTATCTGGCACTTGGAAGGGTGTGTTTTATTAAGTATCCGGTTCTAGTTGTCATAAGGTCAAGGTACAACTCCAAATCGTCCTGTTACCGAAGATCACGGCTATTCGAATAGATTAACTTCCCTGCAGGGGTGCACCACATACCCCAACACGCTTGATCCCATTTGGCCGGACACACTTTTCGGGGTCATGCCCGGCCGCGAAAGATCAACACGTCGCAGCCCCACCTAGGCACAACAGAGAGGTCAGCACGCCGGTCTAAACCTAAGCGCACAGGGGTCTGGGCCCATCGCCCTTAGCACACCTGCACGCTGCGAACGCGGCCAGAAGCAGAACTAGCCCCCTTAATACAAGAGCAGGCTTACGTTCCAATTCGACGCGCGCCACTCAGTCGCTGACGTCACGAAGGCTTCGGCTGATACCACGACGTCGGGATACCCATAACTACTCCCGCGTAGATGGTTAGTGCGTATAGACCAAATGGCCAGACTCAGATCAAATACCCAGATCTCGTTAAGCGTGTTAAGTATCCGCGAACGCCGACCAGGGCCAGGCCCACCTCTCTCCTAGGTGGTCTGAACCTGCCCTGTCGCTCCGCCTCAAAGATCCACTCGCGGGTGCTCCTACGAGCCGACCCGTCTTTAATCACCACATGTATCATGTATAAAGTATATAGTATATACCCGTGATCACCTCCCGAGTGATCACGGCCCGATAGTATAGCATGGCAGACGGACAAGAACGTAGGGCCACAGATGGAAATACTAGCATCCTATACTAAGCAAGTAGGATTGCAGGTAAAGGTATCAACAGTAATAGCAAGGACAGGCTATGCATCAGGATAGGAATAACGAAAACAGTAACATGCTACACTACTCTAATGCAAGCAGTATAGAGGAGAGTAGGCGATATCTGGTGATCAAAGGGGAGGCTTGCCTGGTTGCTCTGGCAAGAGAGAGGGATCGTCAACTCCGTAGTCATACTGGGTAGCAGCAGCGTCGGCCTCGGTGTCTATCGA